AATTCTGGGAGTTGAAGTCCACATGTCCTAAAGTTGCCCAGGTTGAGCAACACTGCTCTATGGTTACAAAAAAAGCTCACTTTTTTCTATTATCTAATTTGTTTCCCTGATCATCAAAACCACAAGTCATAAATGCATTTTTTTCTGTTTCTTGCAAAAAGTCTAAGGAGTCCTCTTTCTCAGGACTACATAATTATTTTCTGCAAGTTTCTTCTTAACAGCTTACTCATCCCTTCTCTATCCCCAAGGTCAGCTCAGCCTTCTTTGACACATAATTCCCAGCAATGCTGGCCCCCATGTAGAAGTAACGATTAGGAATTCTTGGGGTTGTAATCCAATGTATGGAGGGCATCAGGTTGGGGAAGGCGACATCCGACTCAAACTGGTAACACTTTTTCCCAGCAAGATTTCCAAGATTTCAGCCACGTTCCAATGGACAATCTGGAGTTTTATCAAATGCAGAGTGTACACCGTGCTATCAGCCCATCCACCCCCAAAACGAGAAAGGCACGATACTTTAATTAGGACCAACCAATTCTCCCACCCCAAACCTTGTGAACAGCTCCAGCTTAACCTAATGATCAAATTAGCTGTTTTCAGCATTTGCCCAATAAAGGAACCACGCAGGGTGGGTTCAGGCAATAGGGTAAGCCACAAAAACCTAAAAAAAAGATTAAGCCAACCAAGCTTAGTGTGTGGTGCAAATCCAATTCCTAGATTTGGTGTCATGATTAAGGTGCTGGAGTAGAAATGGGGAGACGTTGGGTTCTAGTCCTCCATCAGGCATGAAAGCCAGCTGGGGGACTTTGTGCCTGTCCTTCTCTTTCAGCCCAGCATACCTCAAAGGGTTGTTGTGGTGGAAAAAACAGGAGGTCGGAGCATTAAGGATGTACGCTGCCTTGAGTTGAGCAAAAATAAAGGTGGGATAAAAATCAGATAAGTAAATAAAATGACATTTCGTAGTGACCTGGGTAAACAGGCTGTACATCATAAAAAGCACCCTAGAGCTATGTTAGTCCATACATCCAATTTGGACCGACCCAAACTCTTCGTTCTGGAGATTTCGAAAGCTTGCACGCTCTTTTGCGCCCTTGGCTGATCCAGAGTAAGATATTAGGACTCTGCTCCGTATGATAACCCTCTTCCGTCCACTTGCACAGCTGGTACTCACAAGCCTTCCTTGTGTCCGTCCATCAGGGCCTGGAAGAGTGACTTGTTCTGCGGGATGGTTTGCAAGATGCTTCCGTCTGCCGTCACGTAGCCGATGGCCCACTGACCCAGCTTGGTGCAGCTGAGCCGGAAAATATAGCTGGGGAGAAAGTGAGTGAGAGTTGAATCTGGCAGCTGGGATCGTGGGAGACGGCAGGGGGAGCTGCGGCTACAAAGAACACTTTGCAAGGCAGCCGGTTTCAATCTGAGAGGTTAAGCTAAGAAAGGAAAAACATCCTGAGAATCAGTGTTTCTCAAACTGGGCCACTTTAAGATGGGTGGACTTCTGGGGATGGCTGGCTGGGGAATTCTGGGAGTTGAAGTCCACCCATCTTAAAGTGGCCCAGTGTGAGAAACACTCTGCGGAATGAACCTGGTGGAGGAATTCAGATAGATTTATTAATCTACCAAGGGGCAAGGAGAACCAGTTTGGTTAAAGGCACTGGGCAAGAAACCAGGGGACAATGAGTTTGAGTCCTGTCTTAGGCACAAAGCCAGCTGGGTGATGTTGGGCCAGTCCCTCTCTCCCAGCCCAAGGAAGAAGGAAATGACCACTTCCGAAAGTCTTGCCAAGAAAACTGCAGGGACTTGTTCAGGTCCTCGCCAAGGTCAGTTCTGACTGGAAAGCACCAACTTTCTTTATTTAGAGGAGGGTGAATGATCCGGGAATCCAGACAGCAGCCCTTTCCTCTATCAACCCTGATCTAGCTGCAGGGCTGAGCACAAAAGCTGCTGAGAAGCAAGAAGCGTCGGGCATTTGGGACTCCAACAGTAACTTTGCATCTCCCGAGATGCTCAGTTGCCCTGTATTCCCAGGACCGGAGTCCTGCTTCCAGCCAGGGCTGGCTTACATTTACTGTAGGTACCAGTTCCCCAGTCATGATGCACAGTATCTTACTTTGGTTCATGAAAATCCCACAACCAGCTCCACCTGATTCCTGGCAGTGTAGACACAGATGCACCAATACATATAGGAATGCCAGAAGAAGTACAGGTAGTCCCCGGATTAAGAACGCCTGGGTTACAGATGACCCACAGTTACGAATGGAGCCTTTTGTAGCAACATTCAAGTTAAATACACAATGATTCAAGTTAAACACACAACGGTTGGAGTTCATTACACAATACTACTTACACAGTATTATACAATAATACTGTTCTGGCTTACACACAAATTCGACTGAAGGGCAGATCTTGGGAACAGAACTCATTCTTAAACTGGGGACTACCTGTGCCTAAAGATTTGTGGACTTTACAGGACAGCGCAGGTAAGTAACCCCTTCCCCTCGCGATATGAAATCAAAGCATAGCAGTGAAGAGGAGGGTTGTAGGAGGAGAGCCATAGCAAAAAATCTGGAGGAATCTGGTAGCACCTTTTCTGACTACAAGTGGTCCTCAGTTAATGACCACTTGTTCAGCGACCATTCGAACTTACGACGGCACTGAATGAGGGGGACTTATAACCGGTCTTTGAAGTTTAGGCCAGCACAATATCCCTACGGTCACCTGATCGTGATCCGGGCACTCAGCAACTGGCCTGAATTTCTGACTTTTGCAGCATTCTGTGGCCACAGGATCATGATTTGCGACCTTCCCTGCTGGCTTCCAACAAGCAAAGTCAATGGGGAAGTCGGTAGGAGGTCAGAAGTTGTGGTCACGTGAGGTCCTCGCATAACGCCCTGTGGTGATTCGCTTAACGATGGTAACTGGGGACTGCTGGAACTGCCATTGCTAAGTGGCACGGTCACATGACATCATGCGTCATGACCTCATTGCTTAGCAACAGAAATCCGAGTCCCAATTACAGTCGTTAAACGAGGACTACCTGTAACAATATATAGTTTTTTAACGCTTCCAGGAAAGATTGATGACCCGTCTCGTCATCTAGTGGGGTCCTGAGGGAGCAGCCGTTTTGTGACCCCAGGAGATCCGATCAGTAAAATCCATAGAGAGTTTACCTGCCAGGTCTGCTGACATATGCCTGCAGGCGTGCCTTCACCTCGTCATAGGTGAGGAAGGCCATGTATCCCGGATGTGTTACTGCTAGGTAAGTCCAGTTCTTCAGCAGAGTTGCCCAAGGCTACGAAGAGAAGACGGGAGAAGATTTAGACAGGGAACCAAAACAGCCACTAGGAAATGCCATCTTGGGTCAAGCCAAAGGTCGATGTAATCCAGATTCATCTTCCACAGCAGGCAACTTTTTGGAAGAAAACAAGCGAGAGAATCAATCGACAGCTTCAGAGTGCTTTTTATTTTTGCCTCTGGATAAATCACAGTCTGTTAATCACAGTTTTCTCATTTCAGACAGCTGTTTGGACATGGTGAGATTGATTATTTCGTGGTGTGTTGAAACCGAGAGCTCTTTGGAAAATGCCGCAAAGCATGGTGTTGGAAACACTAGAACAGAACTTTCTCCATGACTCTACCACAAGCTATACGTGCAGCTAAAGATTGTGAAAAGCCCCCACTTCTTCCGGACCTCACGGTTTCAGCCACCAGCCAGCCCTGCCCTTCTGCTCACCTGTGCCCACCAACTGCTTAACGAAAAACGTTGCTTCTGTTCGTTTTGCCCTCGGATGTTAACATGATTGCCCAGGGACCCAGCCTATCTGATTATCCCCGATGGTTCAGTGCATTATGGAAGCCTAGAAAGGGGGTCAGTTCCAAGGAAGCCGCGCATATGAACCTAGCTGTTCTTTTACAGATATCGTTGTGGTTTACTTTTGTCGATGAAGCAAGGAAAGGCTGCTTATGAAGCCACTCAGCTCTCCACCCCACCCCCATCCCACCCCATGCAGAATGCAAGCTGTTCTCCCTCTTTCAGCAATGGAAACTTTACAGTTCCATCTAGAGCTGCTGACCCCCTCTCTCCACCCACACCTGGCAGCCTCGAATGATGGACTTCAAGAAGCCACATCCTGCTCTGTGGTCAGCTTCTCGCCGACTGACAGGCAAGGCAGAAGAGAAGAGAAAGAAAGAAAGAACACCGAAAGGCAGCAGTGATCGACGAGGCTGCTCCGTTGCAAAGTTCACATTTAAAACGTGCGAAGTTGGTTTTCTTCTTCCTACCAAGACTACTCCCAAACCAGCTTTTAAATAGTTTCCTTTTTATAATCCTATGTATCTGCCCGCTCATAAGAACGTCTCACTGGAGCAAATGGGGCTTGCTTTCAAGGAGCAGGGATAAGACTGCGGATTTAAGCTGGTGCTGCTGTAC